TCGCAAGTTTGGGACAGCCTGTATTAGATAGATTACCAGGCAAATAAACCTCCTTGGACTGGAGACACAATGTAAGTATTTAACATCCTGATCAGATTATCATGCATAACCCCCACTAAGACTGTCAAATCTTTGGGAGAGGGACCATTTCTTGCTCTGTGTCTGTACAGAACCTAGCACAACAGGGCTTTGTTCAGTCCTTCACTGGCTCTCCTGTTTACTACCACAATAGAAATAATTGAAAACTATCAGCACCAAATTACTAACAGAGAAATAACTCAAACTTGTGAGAGAGAGAGAGACCAGCCCACTTGGTTAAGAAACAGTGGAAAGGGCACAAGGCCAGCAGTATCAGCTCCAGCTCCCCAGAGAACCAAAGAACTCAGGCAATGGAAGCTGAGAAAGATACACGTTACCAGGAGCTATATTCCAGGTCATGCAATTAAAAGGCAAGGGTGTAAAATACAACAATAACTATTGTGACATTAAAAGTAAGAGAAATAAACCGGGTAGGCAGGTGCCTAAATTCTTGAAAACTTCTTGCCCACGGAGGCCAAGAAAAGGCCCAACCCAGCAGTATGATTCCAGCATAATGAACTCCCAGCCTGGGGACTGAAGACCAGCTGCTAGGATTGGTCCCCAGGCCAGCAGAGGCAGGAAGCACATCAAAGGCAGTGCACTCAACCCATCAGAGGGACAAATGCTGCCCCTTGCACTCAATTGCCAGCCTCTGATCAACCCAGGAGCTCAAGAGGGCAGGATCTCTATCCCTCTTTGTCAAGGGCAGTAGGCAGACAATGGTGAGCCACAGCGCAGGACTGAAAAGAGGCTGGGATGTTGGGACCCTACCCAGAGGATGGTGGAGATGTTCCGGAACGCTTGAATCTTTTGACGGGCATCTGCCTCCAGTGGTCACTGAAGAATTGCCATCTGCCCACAGTTGTCCTGCAGCGGTATCATGCCCACACCTATCACTGCACAATTACCACATTTGGCAAATGGACACTCAGGACGTGCTGCGTTGACCCACGTTTGCCTCGGGTTCTGCTTGGCTCCCAGTGTGTCTGGTCTTTGAATCTGAGCTTTGTGCACTATGAGCAAGCAGATATCCAAGTGGCAGTTGAATGTCAATTTTCTGGTGCCATCAAGTGGACAAATTTTGTAATGCAGCTCTAAATTAGGAGCATTGACCTTTCTAAAAAAACAGCCAATGAAAGAACACTCCATGTATAAATGTCAGATGACACTAAGCTAGAGGGAGAGGGTCGATACGCTGGAGGCAGGGATAGGGTCCAGAGTGACTTAGACAAATTGGAGGATTGGGCCAAAAGAAATCTGATGAGATTCAACAAGGACAAGTGTAGAGTCCTGCACTTGGGACGGAAGAATCCCAAGCATTGTTACAGGCTGGGGACTGAATGGCTAAGTAGCAGTTCTGCAGAAAAGGACCTGGGGATTACAATGGATGAGAAGCTGGATACAAGTCAACAGTGTGCCCTTGTAGCCAAGAAGGTGAATGGCATATTAACGTGCATTAGGAGGAGCATTGACAGCAGATCTAGGGAAGTGATTATTCCCCTTTATTCGGCTCTGGTGAGGCCACACCTGGAGTATTGTGTTCAGTTCTGGGCCCCCCACTACAGAAAGGATGTGGACAAATTGGAGAGGGTCCAGCGGAGGGCGACCGAAATGATTAGGGGGCTGGAGCTCATGACTCTGAGGAGAGGCTGAGGGATTTGGGCTTGTTTAGTCTGCAGAAGGAGGTGTACTGGTAGTTCGGAATAGGAAGCCTAATCCGAACTACCTAGTTCGTGCCGCGTGTAGCCGCGGGGCACAGAGTCCGCACTAATGGTGATTTTAAAATGGCGACGCCCGGCAATATGCAAATGAAGCCCAGGAAATTCAAATCCCGGGCTTCATTTGCAACTCCGGTCGCCTACATTACCACTCTAGTTCGAACTAGGGTGGTATTGTAGACATACCCTAAGTCTCGGCTTGACAAAGCCCTGGCTGGTTGATTTAATTGGGATTGGTCCTGCCTTGAGCAGGGGGCTGGACTTGATGGCCTCCTGAGGTCTCTTCCAGCTCTATGATTCTATAAATCACAGCTTATAGCTCTTCAAGAAATTAACCTGTCTGTAGGTTTCGATTTAGTCTCTGTTCCTTTCTTAAAGGATCTTTTCAGATGCAAAGACATTTATTGGCTAATTTGTTTGAGGCTCAAACTGGAGATAGCTTGAAGACTATGTAGCTGACCTGAAGTATGCTATTCTTGAATATTACCTCTGTAGCTGGGGTCTGTGCATTCTTATCCTTAAGTACCCAGACCTGTGCCTGAGTACACACACTATCCTTCACTAGGAACATTCCATAACAATTTGTGGATGAAGTGTGTTCTTCAAACAGGCTGAGACTATATATACAAATTCTATTAAGAACATATTGTATTTAACAAAGGAAGCTTTGCACAGTATCAGGCTATCAGTATGAAATCTGAAAGACTGAGCTTTTGCCATAAAATCTACAGGACTAGCAGATATTTGAAACTGATCTTCCCTTTATTTGACCAAGTAGCTGACCAAGCACAGAAATTCTAGTAGTGTTTTCATAAACAATTATCCACCTTGCACCTGAAAAAAAAGTCCACCACAGATTATTTTTCATAAGCAATTATCCACCTTGCACCTGAAAAAAAAGTCCCGCACCAGTCCTATCAGAAAGCATGCCTACTGCTAAGCAGAGTGTGGACTCAAATCCTGGTATTTCCCATGAAACTGTGTTGTTGGTTCCCATAAGATACAGAAGCCAACTCAGAAGCACTTACAGACATTGGAGCTCATGAGTGCAGCCCAAGTAGCTGAGACGGCTGCATCTCTTTTTAAGGAGTTTGGAGTTGATGCTGTTGGTTTGCCATACTAGTGACAGAGAAGTACAGTATACAAAGATCACTGTCGTAAATCTATCATGTGCCAGCTCATTTTTTCATCTTGACCGCGGATCATGTAGCTAAGTAGTGCACTGACAAGTGTTCAGATTTCAGAGTTCTTCAGCAAGGCCTGGTGGCATATCCTCAGAGCAGATGTGAAATCAGAGCTGACTTTGAAAATGCTATTTGGGAAAAATGGACAGCTGAAGCAGATGCTATGTAAGCTGTAAGGGAATGGTACACAGCCATTTAAAGAGCCCCTGGGCCTCTTGCTGTTACCCTTGTTTGCCTCAGCACGCAGGGAATTAATTCTGTTTGCCACTGAGGATGAAATTGAAGTACGGAAATGTTCTGGTAACGACAGTGAATATGTAAATCCCAAAAGCAAATGGCAACAAGGAACAGACACTGGATGATTCATCCAGTCCTGAGGTTCTCCTCTGAGGTCATGCTGGCTTTCATCATTCTCAGTCACTGCACAATGCACAACTGACTTGTCACAGAGAAGAAAATAATCATTCACATGTCTAGAGGCTTTATTTGATTTCAATTAATATTAAACTGAAATCCAGAGTATCTTCTAGCTCTACGATGCATGTACCCCACTTACATGTCTCTGCTATAAACACTTGTATGGTTCCTACACCGGACCCCAACATCACCCTGGAGCATACTTCAGAGTGAAATCATTGCTTCCTGGAAAGACAAAGGGCAATAACTTCTCTTCCAAAAGATAGAGGACAGACAAACATGAACTTTCATCCAACACAAGCAAATGGGGTTGATAAGCAGAAGTTTCTTTGCTTTATTTAGAACAGAAAAGCATATGACCATGTCGTATCTCTAGCGCTTTAGATTTACGTTGTTTGAGTTTAAAAAGAGGAAGGAGGACTGCTTATGGAATGGACTGATTGTTGCTAAAGATTAAAAAAACCCCAAAAGCTTACAAATAATCTAAACACAGAGACAGGAGAGAGTATCTATTGTAGATGACCACTTCCGCCAGAGAGCTCTTGGACAAAATGTAGATAGAGTGCCGCAGGACATTGATCTTGAACAAGAAGCCATAAATTAAATAGTGTCAAAAATGGTGTACAGGGTCATCTAGAATTCTGTTTGCCCTTTGGAATACGCTAGCTTCTGTTGGCAAAGTCCTTGGCACGAGGGCCCCAAGGTGGAAAGTCCACTAGGAAGGGAGCAGCAGCAGGGCAAAGGGTCTACCCACTTCTTTGTGCTGGGAAGAGTGGAAATGACAAACACTGTACCCAAATGGCCAAGATGGCTAAAGAATATGCTGATTCGGTGCTTCCCATAGTGGTTCTCAGGCGCTCAAGATGCTGTCCCAAGAAGAGGCACTAAAATAGGACAGTGATGGAAATGTTTCCTGCCTCAGTGAATCTGCCCTTGTGATCTTTGGGTTCTAAGTGACCTCTTCATACAATTGTCATTTCCAGCACTTCTCCACTCTCCGCAGCCCAGCCTCTTCTCAGACAACTGCAACATAACAGCTTAAGGCTACAGACACGGAAAAATGGGCATTTAGAGACAGATTTATGGAGCCATTAAGCCTTGCTGGGGATTTGCCATTACAAAGAGTTCTCTTAAAGCAGCCAATAATGATTATACAGCTGAGCTGTGCTCCACACTAACAAGTCTGGCCATCCAAGAACTTACTGTATCTGGAAAGTGGGTGACTCCTTATCAAGCCAAGAAGCCACCTGGAGCGGGGGCAATGCTGTTCCTCCGCAGTGGAGAAGGGTGTATGCCCATAGGGAACTGGTGATGCTTTAATAGTATTTTCCCCCATCTATCTGCTCTATCTGAATTTGCTGAGTTCCCTGAAGCCCACCTATGTTTCTGAGTTGTTCAGACACATGTCAGGACAGTAACTGCCCTGTATTTAAAGCCTGTGGTCTGTGAAATTCAAAGCCCAGCAAGGAGGAAGGAGATCGGTGTCTGGAAAAGAGGAAGGGAGCTCATCACAGCAGGCCTCCTTCCAGTTAGCCCCTGCTGTTCTCCTCCTGGATGCTTCTCATCAATGGGTGCCTGCTCATTACTACGCTTCTCCCCTTACCTGACACTTTGTTTGCCAAGTGAATTGCTGCCTCAATTGTGTTTCCTTCCACAATTTCATCAATGATGCCCAGCTTGAGCGCTTCAGCAGCCAGCACCCGTCTCCCTGCAATGGCGAAATAAAGTAGCTTCAGCCTCCCGCTGTCAGAGATTTCATTGCACTCCATTTGACAAAGCTCCTGCCTTTGCCGGGCCTGAGATCTGTTCTCCACTGGGATGCATCAGTCACACCAGACACAAAGAGATTCTGCTAAGTAAACCATTAGTTGACTTGGCTCTAAAATGGCAAAAACAGGTGTGCAGAGATAATGCCGAAAGGGGAGAAAAACCAAGGGAAGCTAGCAGTTAAAACTGATGAAGGCCTGGTACATCCTGTTCTCTCAATCTCCTCCTGTTCTAATTAACTTTAAAGTGTGTTTGTACACCTCTTTCCCCAGCTGTGCCCTCTCAGCATAGCAGGGTACTGAGAGCAAAACCCCTTTTCATTTAAAATGTCCCACTGTTTTATTAGCTAAAGGTTTCAGTAATCTAGTGTGTACACACAAAAAGGGAACTCCCTCCTATGAGAGAGAAAATGGTAATAAATATACAGATAGAGATTATAACGCCTCTCCAACACCCCAAGCTGCTTGCATTTTGCAAAACACACACAGGTATGAATGCATGCACACCTCTCTGTACTATATAGCGTCACACACAAGTAGCCTAGGGAATGTTTGCACACATAGTGATCTGTGCCATCAAGCACCAGCAATGCCCTCTGCCATGTATACTGGCCAAACTGGACAGTCTCCATGACAAAGGCTAAATGATCACAAATCAGACATCCGAAATGGCAACACACACAAACCTATAGGGCAGTGGTCTCCAACCTTTTTACACCCAAGATCGCTTTTTAAGTGTCAGGGCAAGCCAAGATCTACCCCATCCCTTCCCCAAGACCACACCTTCTCCGTTCCCCTCCTCTCCATCACTTGCTGTCCCCAGCCCTTACTCTCACAGGGTTGAGACAGGACGTGTGGGCTCTGGGGCGGTAAGGAGGGATCTGGGTGTGGGAAGAGGTGAGAGATGCAAGCTTTGGGAGGGAATGTGGATGCAGAAGGAGGTGGAGAAGGGGATGATGGCTCAGGGAGGGCCCTGCAGGCTGGAGAGTGTTGGGGTCAGGTGGAGGGTTGGTGTGCTGAGCAAGACACAGGTTTGTGGATGTGGGGGCGCAGGAGTTTGGGTTGGGGTGTATGAGGAGCTCAGGGCAGGGGAGGTTGGGTGTATGATGGGCTTGGGACACAGATTTGCAGTGTGTGGATGGTGCAGGAGCGTTGTGGCACAAGATTGGGGATGTGGGAGTGCAGGGATTGGGGATGAGAGAGGCTCAGGACAGGGGGTTCCGGTATATGATGGGCTCAGGATTGGGGTCGGGGGGGGGATGCAGGAGTGTCATGATGCTGCGGCCAGATAGGGGCTTGTTGGCCGGGCTTCATTTTTAAACAAAATATTATGTCCAATACAAAACGTTTCAGCATTGTCTTTATTTATGGGAGGGGCAGGGACCCTGTTTTGGGTCAGAGGTCACTGACCCATGGAAAAATCAGTCGGGAACCACACAAGTGAGATGCAAAAAAACAACCCCTCCAAGCCCGACTGATGTGGCCCCTACTGAAACACCTCACTCCACTGGAACTGCAGCCCCATTGGGAAGGTAGGTAGGACTGAGGTTCAAGGCCTCAGGCCAGATTAACTCTTCTGGGGTTCCAGGCTTAGTGGATTTTGTGAGCCCCTCAACACTCTGGGGTAGGGCCAAAAATGAAGGATCCAGTGTGTGGAACGTGGTTGCCAGTGAGTGAAATAGGGAGGAGGTGTAGAATTTGGGTGGAAAGTAGGGTACAGGAGCAAGCTGGGGGGTAGGTGTCCGGCCAAGAGGAAGTGGGCAGGAGCAGGGTGCTGAGGGGGGTCTAGCCTAGTGCCAGGATACTGGTGAGGATCTAGCCAGGGACAGGGTGCTAGTGGGAGGTATACCCAGAGGAAGGGGGCAGGGAGCTAGTGGGGATCTGGCCAGGGGGCAGGATGCTAGTGAGGGTCTGGCCAGGGGGCAGGTGATAGGGTGCTGGTGGGGATCTGGCCAGGGGGCAGGTGACAGGGTGCTGGTGGGGGTCGGCCAGAAAAGAGGGGGGAGGAGCAGCTCGGCTGGTACCTAGGCGTCTCCAGGGACAAGGATCTTTGGGGCAGAATCTGCAGGCAGTCCTGGAAGAAGCATACATGCATCTCCTTTAAGAAATCCAGCTGCTCCAGATCTTGCACTGCCATCTTAACTACCTCCCCTGCTCTCCCGGAGCACGGGGAAGAGAGGACAAGAAAGTGTGCATGCGCCTCCCCTACTCACAACAGTGTGCGCGCGCTTTCTTGTCTTCCCTTCCTTCTCCATGCTGCCTTCCTTCCTTCCTGTGGCATGGTAGGGGGGAAGCCCCGAGGCTCCGCGCCAGATCCGGCTTTGGCTCTGAACCACAGGACATCCCCCCAATGCTGCAGGAAGCCAGAGCTATCCCAGATCCGGCTTTGGCTCTGAACCACGGGACATCCCCCCAATGCTGCAGGAAGCCAGAGCTAGCTCTGTTTTTGCAGGAGGTTGTAGCACCAGCGCGGGCTCCTCATTGGGGGGGAGGGAGGCGGAGCAAGGAGAGGCTAGGAACACCGCCTCGCGATTGACTGGCAGTGTCCCCATGATAGTCTGATTGGTGACCACAGCAGTAGGGGAACATTTTAACCTGCCTGGGCACTCATTAATAGATTTAATTAATGAGTTCTACAAAGGCATTTCACCAGCCAATTAGAGAGTGCAGCATTGACCTTCATATGCAAATTTGACACGGTTTCCCTGGGCTTGAACAAAGACATTAACTGGATGTCGCATTATAAAGCCAGCCTTCCCTGTATTTAACACCGCATTTTTACATCAAAAGCTAAGTATGGGACACTTCCAGCCCACTTAATTAGCCTCATTAGCACCGGTCTTACAATTGACAGGTACTTTTTTTTTTCCCCTGTTATAAAATTCTGGGTTTCTGTTATTCGTCTCCAGCTCATCTAATGAAGTGAGTTTTGCCCACAAAAGGTCATGATACTATATATATTTTTGTTAGGCTCTACGGTGCCACAGGACGACTCACTGTTTTTAAAGTTACACAGTAACATGGCTACTCTTCTGTGACTTTTTTTGCACACAGTGTTTGTGGATTCACACATATATACACTGAGTCCAGTCCAATAGTCTGGCTTTGTCTAGACCAGGATTTGACTCAGCCAGTAAGTATGTGTTACAATACAATTTGCCTTGTCTGAATAGAGTTTCTGAACACGTTCAATATATTGAGCTAGCTAACCTGATCCCATGTCACACCTGTCCATCCTACTCTAAACAAAGCCACAGAAATTTACCTGTGGTGATTATATCAAGTGCGGCTGGGACCCCAATCAGTCTGGGGAGTCTCTGGGTTCCTCCAGCAGCTGGAAGTATCCCAAGGGTGACCTCTGGAAGACCTACCCAGGCCTAGAGGCGAGTGAAAGTAAACAGAGGATCTAATTAAAGAAAGCAGTAATTATATACTATATACAGAAGATGCAAGCACAGCATAACCACAGTCATACACCATTCCTTCTAGCAAACTGCTCTTGGAAGCCCTACAAAGGTACAAATTGTGATTTTCAGCAGTTTATAACTGCTAAATCTGGATAAGTTGTAGGAAAAGCAAAAGATGCCCCCCAGAGCCCACAAACATCACCTGCTAAATTTCAGGTCTCTGCTTCAAAAGTATGGATACACTAGAAACGTTTCAAAGAAATGGCTGAGGAAACATTTGATATCAGCAAAACTACCTATTTCCCCCAACCTAATTCTTGAGAACATCTCTCGAGCCCGTTTCAAAGAAATGGCTGGGGAAACGTTTGATATTAGCAAAACTGCCTATTTCCCCCAACCTAATTCTTGAGAACATCTCTCGAGCATTTTGGCTGAAACCTGAAAAAATCACCATCCAGATGGTTAAAGTTTAGCAAATTATAAGCAAAAGAAACTGGGTGATTATAATGGAAAATATTGCATAATGGAAATATTAATTAGCGGTGTGGCCATGGATTCTATTTTGATAAACTTTCAAAACAATTCTAATGCCTCAACAGAGTGATAGAAACTTGAAATTTGGTAGGGATGTAAACTTAGCTCACAGATCTGCCTTCAGGAATTTGGTGAACACACTGTGTGTTGATTTGATGAATTATGCAGGCTTAAAAGTGCTGGTTATTTGCTGGACACAGATGGCACTCATGCATACTACAGCTGAATAGAAATTCAGTCTTCCAACACTGTATTGGTGTTCTACACGTGCACGAAAAAATGGAATGGCCTTCTGGTTTTAATGTATAGGCACATGTAGAATATGACCCTCAGATTGGGGATGAGATGAAGCATGGCTCCATCAAGGGCAGGTACCCCATTGTGCCACCCACAGCACTCCAGTGCAATGCTTTTGGGGGATTTTTTTGCAATGTTTTTTGGGACAGAAATGACTCACCTAGGAATCTCTAGGAACTAGGGATCAAGTTCCCAGTATGCACTTTTCTCCATCCCATAATGCCACCCATCTCCCAAAATGACTGCTTTTTTTTATTTCCACAAGCCCTCACAGCCCTTTTTGCTGTCCAACACTTCTGCAGGAAGCATTATTTTGGCACCTGCCCACCTTAATCTAGATATATATTTGAGCGTGTCCGCCTGTCTGAGTCTGCCTGTCTATCTGCGAGTCCATTTATTCAAACACTCCTCCTAAACAGTAAGAGGTGGGACCACCAAATTTGGTATTCAGCTTCCTCCTCTCCTAACTTAAAGCAAGGTCAGGGTTTGGTTGTGCCAGGAAAACGGGAAGTCCCTAGAATGGGACTGTTTTCCATAACATGGAAAGGAAGGTGGCAGAGAGGAGGAATGCGATACAGTGGCCACTGGGGGCAGTGAGCTCAGGGGAGAGCTATACTGCAGAGTGACTACTAGAGGCAGCTGCACCAAGAAAGGCTACCATCTTGCCTGCCACCAGACAAGGTAAGAAGCCCCTCTGCCCCAAACCCTTCCCCCAGCCCCTCGCCACAACCCTAGCAAGGGAGACAGGGAAAACCCTGCTGGGCAGAGGGGAAAGACCCTGCCAACTGGAGGAGCTGCGGGGGAGGGGGGGGGATGGTCCCTGCCGGCCAGGAGGAAGGGAAAGCCCTGCCAGATGGGACCTCCCCATCCCAAGCCCCTCCTCACTCCCTAACCCTCAATCTCTCACACTTCCACATCCCCAGCCCCGAGCCCCTCTTTAACCCCCTCACCATGGCTCATGCACCCCCCACGTCCCCAGCCTCCTGCCCTGACCCCCATTCCTCCAAGGCTCTGCCCTGACTCCTGCACTCCCCCTGTCCTGAAGGACCCAGGCAATGCTGGTTAAATCTTCTGGTACATAATATAGCAATAGAATGTGCTACTCTGTGGCTAAAAAAAAAATTGAAACCTGCAGACACGTGACTGATGCCAGCGTGGGCTGATCAGAGAAGATGCATGACATTCACATGTTTAAGCACACAGGATGGTTCGGAAAGCTGCAAGCAGGGACATTCTTTCCCAACCGGTGAATTACCACTGGTGATACGGAAACATTAGTGATTCTGGGGGCCCAGCCTACACTTTGCTTCTCTAGACACTTCCTACCTCAACAGCATCAAGCAAAGACACAAGCACCAGCTCAGCAGATGCAGAACAACAATTGCATGTGCCATTGATAGAATGAAGGGATGAGGATTCTGTTTACTCACATCGTGTCCTGTGGTGGCCTATATGTTATCTGAGAGCCCAACGGGGAAAGCTGCTGCCAGGATGGAGGTGGAGCAGCAGTCGGCTGACTTTGGACAGCCAGATACAAGTGACATTGCAAGAGCTCAACTTGGAGCTATGCCGTTGAGGAAGGCTTTGAAAGAACACTTGAATGGTCACCCACTGTAGTACTGTGTGCTGGAGTAATCTCTGGGCCTGGAGCTTGGATGCTACTAAGAAAAGTCTGGTGTTTGCTGCACATGTATAATTACTCTGTGGTTTACTGAAATCAGTTCTGTGGTGCTGCATGTTTACAAGCTCTGCTTCTCATTCTGCAATATGTGCTGGAAACAAAGGGTTTTTTTAAATATAAATGTATTGGGTGGTAAGTCAGTACAGACAGACAATGTGCAGAACACTTCGGGCAACGCAATACAAACTTTTAACAGACTAACAGCATGGAATGTTACAATTGGAAAGCCAGCAACGTTACAATTGGAAAGTCCATTTCAGTGCACAAATGCACTCCCTTGTGACTACACATATAGTAACTGTGGTTCTTGCAGGCCAGTGTATATGAAGCTGAGGTTTTCCTGGGAGCCCCTAGATGAGGAGTGATTGGGGCAGAAATGCCTGTGGTGTATGTCCCAAATATTGCAGACCCTGGTTGACTTATTGGTCCAAATGGTCCAGGACTCCCCAAACTTTGTAGTCTTTAGATATCTCCATGCTAGCAGCTTCCTATCCCACTTTCATCATATGATGTGGCATTAACTTTGTAATGCAGACTGGGCCTAGGTCTCACCCTTCGGGTATGTCTAGACTACGTCCCTCCATTGCAAATGAAGTGGAGATTTAAAAATCCCGCGCTTCATTTGAATAAAAATGGCTGCCGCGTTTTGCCGAGTTAGCAGTTTGTCGGCACAAAGCAGCTGTCAAGACGTGGATCGGGCAACAAAGAAAGCCTTTGTTGCCCGATCCCTTATGCCTCGTAAAACGAGGTTTACAGGATCGGCCAACAAAGGCTTTCTTTGTCACCCGATCCCCGTCTTGACAGCCACTATTTGCTGACAAACTGCTAACTCGGCAAAACGCGGCGGTCATTTTTATTCAAATGAAGCGCCGGGGAGTTAAATCCCCACTTCATTAGCAATGTCGGTATGTCTAATTTACAACCCTCTGATGACAGAGAGATGTAATCTAGACATACCCTTAGTGAATGAGAATCATTATAAAAAGGATAGATAAGACAGAAAATACCATATTGTGTATATATAAAAATCCATGGTTAAACCACATTTTGCAGATATTTTCACCTCATCTCAAAAAACCATAAAATGGACTTGGAAAAGGTTCAGAAAAAGGCAACAAAAATGATTATGGGGTATGGAATAGCAGCTACATGAGGAGAGATTAATAAGACGGACGTGCACCTGTTCCCTTACTCATAATGGCAGTGGAGAGAATTGGAGGAGCTGCAGATGAAGTTGTTCAATGGGCTCCTCAGCATGCAAATGAGGCATTTGATTAGGAACCCTCCCCTCTAGTCTCTCCTGCTCCCAGGAAAGCCATACAGCAGCACTCTTCCTAGTGCAGCCTCAGGTTCCCTATGGCTCATTTCCCCTTCCATTCAGAGCACTGTATGCTGGGCACGATCCGGCATAGGAGGGCATTCCTTCTAACCCACTTATTGCCCTTTGTTGGACTCTGGACACTTAACAGCATATTACCTGTGCCTGTGCAATCCTGTAGTGACAGCCCAATGCCACTTCCAGTCCTCCTCCTAATGCCATGCCTTCAATAGCAGCCACCACAGGCTTTTCGCTTTTCTCTATTAGGTCAATGACTGATGTCAGACTGGGGCTGTCTCCTGCTGGAAAGGAGGAAAACCCTCGAATATCAGCACCTGCGGAAACACAGAGGAGCTTAACAAGACCATGAAAAGTCAGCAGAGCAGGGAGTGCCCGTCTTTGCTTAGAACACCCTTCAGGACCAACAAGTAGGGATTAATGCTGGGCGACTATGGACCACTGTTCAGTCCAGAACTTGAAGGACAGCAGTCATGATGCACAGATCTCTGAAGCAGATTGGATGTGATGAAGAAAGCAGTAAAGATCATCAAACTCATTCACAAGCACCTTTGGAAGGAACCCTGGGTGGTGGGTGAACCTGAGGTTGGGGGAGCAACCTTCCAGCCCCACCTCTTCCACCCAAGGCCTTGCCCCCTACAGGAGCCAAGTTCCCCCTCCACAGGGGCAGGTCTCCAGCTCCCCTTTTCCCCCTGCAGGGGTAGTCCCCAGCCCCACACTCATGAGTTAGCCCCGGAGCACAGGGAGGAAAGGCGGTGACAGGGGGTGGAGTGTGGGGCAGGGCCAGGCCTGGCACTTTGGGAAGGCAATGCCTTCCCCTGCCTCTTACACCCACTGCCCCTGGGTGGAATCCTTATTTTGACTCTCTCTGGACCTATTCATAAAACCTTAGAGATGGAGAAGGAAAAACAACTCCCATGCTGCTATAACAATCACCATCAATGTAGCATTAGCAGCTGCCACCACAAGACACCTCTAGCACAGCCTAAGAGTTTAGGGGTGGGGGGACAGCAACAGATCCATAGACAGACATCAAGCCAGAGAGCTCAACACGGCAGTAGTGCAGCAGAGAGAAGGTGGGGCCCACCGTCAACATACGGCAACTCCCAGTTCTGGACCTGGATCCACCATCAGCCCAACTCCTTGTATCACCAAGGGCTCTCACTGCCAGTCAAAATCAGAATGCGAACAGTAGCTCCATTTCAGGGCAGGTGGCAACACTAAAATTACTGGCACATTCTCTCTCTCTCTTTGCAGGTTATCTTGATGGGGCTACATCTAATTAGCTCCTTGAGCTGATCTCAAATCAGGGTGAGTTACCTCCACAATCACAGGCCACTGTCTGCCTCAGCAGTGTGTGAGATGTCCTCTAGAGGGCAGCAAGAGACTCTAAGTCAGTGATACTCCAACCTCAGTGAAGACAACCTCAGTCTAGCAAGACCCACTAATTCCAACTGGGAGCGTGGAGCGTGCTCCCCTCAACCTCCTGCTGTGTGGACAGTGCCAACATGTGATTTAAGACACTACAACTCCAGCGACGTAATTAACAAAGCTGGAGTTGCGTATCTTAAGACAACTTTCCCCTTAAGCGTAGGCCGGACCATAGTGTTTTGATGTCATGTGCTGCAAAGAGCTGCAGGAGACACATTAAAGAACGTGTAGGCCGGACCATAGTGTTTTGATATCATGTGCTGCAAAGAGCTGCAGGAGACACATTAAAGAGGCATTTGCGGCTCCTGAGCCTCAGTCAGAGTATCACTGCTGTAGGCAAAGGATGAGGGATCCCGCCTGACCTTCCCAATTCCCTGGTATCCAGTCCCACTCACAGGACAGAAAATCCAGGCTGGGCCAAAACTTCCCAACACACACAGAAATTGAATATGAAACAGGAGACACAATGCTGGGAATTTTGGATGCTGGGATTCCAGTGTGGGAAGCATCAAATGAGGAGAATGAACTCTTAGCTGGAGGCTGATCTAAGCTGGTAGAAAATAGGAAAGATGCAAACCTCAGAGTACCTTTTAATGTCTGTAGAGCCACAGTGGGCGGAAAACACTTTGGAGAAGATCGGAGGACCAAGTAACTGTTGCAAGGTCCCGAGTCCTATAGACTCAAGCACTTATCTGTAAGTGCTGAAGAACCAACGAGAATTTCTGTTCTCTGTATGTTGGGTATTTATCAGACGTTGGAGTCAATGTTTCTGGTTTATACTAGAGATGTTAAGATGCTTTTCAAAACGTAATGTGCTAAAAATCACAGCGGTTACATGCCCTGTGGGCTCTGTGGTATAAGGCTTAAATAAATAAGCTTTATACTGCAGGGCCTGCAGCTAAGCCACCTCCCCAGGAGCGCTGCCGGACCTGCTCCTGGGAGGCTTCGCTGAGGCAGGCTCTGCAGTGAGCTCCTCAGGAGCAGGGCTGGCAGCCCCTGCCAGTCCTGCTCCCAGGTAGCCAGCATGTAACCTGCAGCGGGGTGGGAACAGGGGGACGGCGGGAGGAGGGCAGCCAGACCTATCACAGACTGGAGCAACCCAGCTGCTCCAGTCCCTATCAGTTGACTGGAACCAGAAAGCCTCACCCATTCAATCAAACTGTAAACCGTGTTTATAATGGAAACCACTTCAAGCCAGGGGTGCTGCACCACCTCCTGCACCTCTAGTTCCAGCACCTATCAATGTAAGCAAATCCTATATTTAATGTTACACGTAGCAGGGCTGTCTACATGTGAAGACACAAATTGTGTCCTTTGTAGCCTAATTTGGTCCATCTCTGAGAAGCACTGCATTAAAGACACATCTGATCATTGCTGACTGTTACCACTAGAATAACACAAGCATAGTGAGACGACGATGCTGATACTCTGAAGGTTCACAAAGTTGTACACAATGCTGTTTATGTTTATAGTTACTGTGGCAAATTCCTACAGAGTTTGGAATAATTGACTCTGTGTGTGTGAACACTAAATAAAAAGAGAATCTTACCTGCACTGAATTTCCCATTCTCCCCACAAATCACAACAGCTTTCACAGCAGGGTCTGTAGCTGCTTTCTTCACTCCTTGCTCTAAAGATCGAATAACTGCAGAGCTAAAATAAATCAGAGAATCATCAACTGATGCATACCCACACCCAAAATCTGAGGGGCTCACATCTGGTCTCTTCCTCCTCTTGCCCTCTCTGTGACGTCCCACAGGGTCTCTCTTCTCCTCCCCTCTTTCCAAGTCATTTCATTGGCTCATTCCTATCACTGGTATGTTGATGCCTCAAATCTAGCTCTTCACTCTTAAGCAGCCTCCCTCCAGCCAGTTCCACACCTCAGCTTCTCTCTCTGGTGTCTCCAGAAACTAAAACCAAGCTGGAACTCTTGACTTTTCCCATCAACTCTTCCTCACATCCATCCTGTCAATCAAGACCGCACTCTGGGGTCCATCTGGCCATACATGGATTTCTCTCTCACCGCTACCACGTGGCCTTGGGTAAAGAAATGGAAGAGAGAAGACAGCCAGAGACTAATGCCAGCAAGAGCAGCTTAAGCAGGGGCCTGTGGACGATGGCAAGGACATCAATATTTTGGACAGTTTTGATGGGACTTTCTTTCCCCCTGTCCTGTTTGGCTGTTTGCTGCAAGCCCTCCTTCACAGTCTCTTTACTGCATTCGTGCCCCCTGCCTTTCAGTGTCTCCTCCCCTTCCCTGTTCTTTCCATTTAGACAATCTCTTCCCATCAAAACTCCACCTGAAATAAAAAAGATTGTGTAACTCTTGTGACATCTGCAGCTATGGCATTCTACATTCCGCCTGGAGTGTTTTTTGGGGGTATCAGGACTCTGACCCAGGGACTATGTGTCTGCTACTATTTATACAGTGGACTCTTGTACATTTCAAAGGAGGAATGCGGAAGTGCCTATCGACAAAATTCCATTAACTACTCGACTAGTCAATTAACTGCTAGTTAACATCCTTAGTTGCATCCCTATTCTACGCCCACGATATCAACTATGTACCATTTATCTCTTCTACCAGCAGAGCTCTGGACACAGGAGCATCAAACTTGGCTACTGATGGACAGGTTAAATAGAGGAACATATGAAACACTACTTTAATTTGTAAGGGAGGACACAAACCCCCACATACAGCACATAGAGTGATATTTACACACACATTTGGTTATTCTTCTGAACACACTACATAGAATAAAATGTATACAAGCAAAGAGGAAGTGCCTCTGAGGAACAGGCATTAAATGTGTCCTAAGCACTTCTGTGCCTGCGGTGCACATATAGTCAATAGTTATGCTGAGCGTGCTCAGAAGTGTGGTAATTTGCACTGGGGGGATTATGCAAGAAAGACTTTGTCAGGTTACCCCTTCTGTCAAGCCTAGGGAAATCAGTCACATGAGGCTGATACGCAGGGCAATTCTATTCTCCATTCCCCATCTTTACTATCATAGCCCAAAAGAACTGATTGTCCCAGGGAATAACTGACACTCTGCTAGTACATAGTATTTCCTTTCCCCTCACACAGCTATTTTCTTTCATAAATAGGATTGTACTTTTTTTTAGAAAAAGAATTCTAGCAAGAAAAACAATATTTATTGAAAGCAGGACAAAGGCCAAGAGCAACTCCTAACTCTGAGCTAACCTCTCACTCTTATCAGGCCCAGAAAACATGCAGATGACACAGGCCCAATGTACGAATTGTTAGTTACATGCATTCTTATTATAGTGTGCTTGCAAAAATACATAACTTACAATAAAGGTTCCTAGAATAAGTATAATAATACACAACATCACAGCTGAAAAACTTGAGTATAAAAAGAATAGACGTGGCCAGTTGTATTTACATATGTATTTCATTAACATGACAGAGTATATCCATTAACTATGGTGTGAAAATTCACTGTACATATTCCTACAACTTTAAACCTTTCAACATGTATGCATGTGCACGCATGCATGTGAAAAGATTAACTGGTTACTTAGTAGCCAGCAGATTTATCAGCATGCTTACCTAGTAACTGTCCCTCTCCCAATACCCCACCCCCAGCCATGGTGCAATGGAGCCAGCCTGACCAGCCCCCAGCCGGTGGTGGGCCAGTGGGGCTCAAAGAGCTCCATGCTTCTGGTGAGCTGGCCAGCAGGCTGGCCCCTGCCTGGAGGGCACTAGCCCTCCAAAGGTTAATCAGTTACCCTGCATAATTGTAATCATTTAACTGGTTAACTATTTTAATGGCGATTTATATTTGTGTCTTTAAATGTATGCCCCGTAAGGTGAGAGAATACTTATAAAGATGACCTTAGCTTTCTATTCCTATTCCTTTTATGCAGAGGGTTTTCTTAATCACAATGGTCCTGTCCTGTATTTTATAAACAGCAATTCCAACAAAGTTAGGTAAGCTGTGTGTGTGTGTGAACTTCCTTCAATTGCCTCTTCGGTTTTTTTTTTTTTTTTTTTTTTAAAGTGCCACAAAGTTTTTCTCTTTCAAACACTTGGGGTACATCTACACAGCAGTGTTATTTCAGAATAACCAACATTATTCTGAAATAACATAGTTTGCATCTACGTTACAAGCACTTATTTCGACAAAACGTCAAAATAATGTCAAGCTTGAGGACTTCTTACTCTGATTCCTGTAACCCTTGTTTTAAGAGGAGTAAGGGAAATCGGAGGAAGAGTGCTCTTTCTCAGACTTCCTGCTGCATAGACAGCACCAAAAACCAAAATAAGCTATTTTGACTTAAGCTATGCAATTGATGTAGCTCAAGCTGCACAGCTTATTTCAACTTTAGCCCAGCTGTGTAGACATACCCTTAGGCTATGTCTACAATGGCGCGATCTTGCGCCAGAGATATGCAAATGAGGCTAAGCATGGAATATCGCTGCACCTCATTTGCATATCTAATGAGCTATCATTTTTGCAGAAGAGGCTCTTGCGCCAGAAGGAGCGTCTACACTGCCCCTTCTTGCGCAAGAAAGACCCTCTTGCACAATGCCGTTATTCCTGAAAATAATCAGCATAGTGGCATTGCTCGAGAGGGTTTTTCTTGTGCAAGAAGGGGCAGTGTAGACGCTCCTTCTGGCGCAAGAGCCTCTTCTGCAAAAATGATGGCTCATTAGATATGCAAATGAGGTGCAGCGATATTCCACACTTAGCCTCCTTTGCATATCTCTGGCGCAAGATCGCGCTAGTGTAGACATAGCCTAGAGTTCACAAGATGGGCGCTCCTCAGACTTTCGGAGGCTCATAGCAGAAAGGTTTTCCTTCTGCATATTACTTAACATCCACGAAAAAGGAAAAATCGAAGGTGAGCAAAAACAATGAGGAGTGCTGTGACACCTTAAAGACCGACAGATTTATTCAGGCATAAGCATTTGTGGGTAAAAACCACTTCATCAGATGCATCTGACAAAGTGGTTTTTACCATGAAAGTTTATGCTCAAATAAGTCTGTCAGTCTTTAAGGTGCCACAGGTCTCCTTGATGTTTTTGCTAATTTATTTGAGTTTCACGGGCTGGAACCAATGCCTTGGATGACTGTGTACCTAATGAGGTGCATGGGTGAATTCAGACATGCATAACTGAAGACCACAAAGATGACGTAAGTTCTTAAACACTAAGGTAATACAAATAAGAATAATTTTGTCTAGAATAGATCATATATCATATTTCATGCTATTACCCAGCCAAGGCCAATGACTTGTGCTTTGCTATTGCGTACCTTCCAGTCTTGATTTGAAGGTGTCAAGTGGTAAAGAATCCACCACTTCCCAGAGTAGTTTGTTCTAGTGATTAATCATCTCATCCTCACTATTTAAAAAGTGTGCCTTATCTCCCATTTGAATGTGTCAGGTTTCAACTTCTAGCCACTGCTTCTTGTTCTGCCTTTCTCTGCAGGATTAAAGAGCCCTTTACTACCTGGTATTTTCTCCCTAAAACAGTACCTGTACACAGTTATCAAGTCACCACTTAATCATCTTTCTGAGGAACCAAACAGATTAAGCTCTTTCTGTCTTGCTGTAAGGCATTTTCTCAGTGCTCAAATCCTTTCTGTAGCTCTTTTCCGCACTCTCTCCATTTTATCAATACGGGCAGTCCCCGAGTTATGCGGATCCGACTTATGTCGGATCCGCAGTTACGTATGGGGCTTTTCTCGCCCCGGAGGACAGGACCCGCGGGACGCCCAGATGCGCCACGGTCCGCCGCCCCCGTCCGCGGGGGCAAGAAAAGCTGCTCCCCGTCTCCCTGGTCTGCAGGGAGACGGGGAGTAAAGCCTGGGAGATTGGAGTTGAACAGGCAGAGAGCAAAGGTGCTCAGAGCCTGTGCTCCAGGGTTGGAGGAGGGCCAGAGACTGAGCATGACAGCTCTCTGCCTCTCGGGCAGCCAGCCAGAAACGCTCTTTTCAATGAAGTAAAAGTGAAAAGAGCTGTGAAGCAGGCAGCAGGGAAATTCCATTGTGGTCCCCCCAAAATAAAATCTTCCTTGAATGTGTTTCCAGCAAAATACTGTGTGTTTCTGATCTCTCATCCTAGTAGGGACAATCCCCCCCCCAGAAGTGTAAGGTATTTTGCAGACATTCCTATCTTCTGACCAACTCTCCTAAAGCTTAGCGAAGAGGAAGAGCAAAGCCCCTTTGTCGCAAAGAGCCCGAGCTGCACAGACAAGCGCAAGGTATTTTGCAGACATTCCTATCTTCTGACCAACTCTCCTAAAGCTTAGCGAAGAGGAAGAGCAAAGCCCCTTTGTCGCAAAGAGCCCGAGCTGCACAGACAAGCGCCCCTATGCTGAGGGAGAAAGGAGCCGTGGGAATGACTCTGTGCTGCAGGCAGGCTCCGCCCCAGGGACACCCGCGCAACTGCCCCTGAGGGGAGCGGGGCCCCAGCCTGG